AATGAAAGTCATTCGTAATTACACCTTCATCTGCTACTGGGTATTTTATACATGTGATGGTTTGGAATTCAAAAATGTATGATTACATTCAACAGCACTCAAATTCTAAATGTATTTGGTAAGTTTGAAAATGGTGTCATTTCATGATTTAAATTTCTGCCTCCAACATATTATATGCAAATACTTAATACAGAATGTGGGAAGGAACCATAGCAAATTGAGATCACAAAGGCAAAAAACTTGTTGACATTTGCTAAGCATTTGCTACATGTGCAAATCGCTTCATGTCTGCGGTGTGGGCACGAGGAATAGTCGGGTACCTCTATTGGATGGATCGCGTGTGTAGGACGTTTAGGGCTTGTCAGTAACGCTCAGAGATCGATGAAATACTACATACCAGATGGCTCGGGATGTAGTGGGCCTTGTCTGGCGTTGTGTGCTCTGGGAAAGCTAAGGCGAGCCTTGCATCGCCTCCTACAGCTGCACACTCCTTTCTGCCTTGCACAATGTCCTTTCTCTTACATTCACAACGGTCGCCCATCTCTTCTTGAAAAGGAAATATATTCGCGCGCATTGTGCGTACATGTAGCCAGTCTCGATGCGAGCAGTACTGAAATGCGCAGCTCAGTAGGTTCCATTTGAGCTTAACACAAGGCTAAACATGGGTCTGAACGGAAGAGAGGTGATGACAGCTTGACTCACGTACAAAGGCTGCATTCAGAATCTGGAATTCAGTGCTTGACGCGGGCGATGAATCGATGAAGTGACATACCGCACCTTCTTCAGAATTAATTCAGGCGATGATGGTATAGGAAGGGTGTTTCAAAGTAAGGCTGACTGTCGCTGATAGTAAGAAGCAGCTGGCTGCAAGCTAACAATGCTCGCACCTGTAATGACAGACTCTCTGAGCACCACCGTTCGACCTCGAGCCGAGCTGAGCAGTATCCTTTGTCTTTACGCATAGGCGAGCATGCATATTAGCTTGTGAGGAGCAAGCCATGCTAGGTGTGACAGACATGATAGACGAGTGATCCGAAGGCTCCATTCTAATCTGACTCGGAATCCTCACCAGTCATAAGACAGCATCTTCAAAATCAGAGAGCATACGCGATATCGGCGGTATCACCCAACGTTGACGTGAGAGAAGCGCACTGCACAGCTGATCAACATGACCATCTCCGCAAGGCCCGATGCTGTGCAACGAAACCTCGATATCAATTCCCAAGCGACATCATGGGGAACATACTGCTCGATCGCAGTCGAGGGACTCGTCAAGCCACATGCGCCCCCGCAGTGATTTTGACTTGAGGTCATGATCGCAGCCAGGGCGCGAGAGAGCTTCGTGATGCGCGCCCGCTGAGCTCGTTGTGGCCACTGCTGTGCCGAGTAGTACATGTGGATGACGTGGAGCGCGCGATGACTCGAAGTGACTCTCACTACACGTCCTACTAACGCATACGCGTATGCTGCGGAGCATTGCGTCGACACTGTTACTCATCGCAATTAAATGCCGATTTTGTCATCCTCCCGGCAACAAGTACTTACGACTCTGCGGTAGCTTAGTTCACCGCTGCGCCTGCCGCGCCGTCCAAACTTCGACCCTTCCTGCATTCTCCCGTCGCTTGGCCGGCGCAGCGCTCGGCGATTGCCCCTTCCGAGAGCGTGGCTAGCCAAACCGGGCAGCGCGAATCCGAATCTGCGGCCAGGATCTTCAAAATGAAGCCCGTGGTGGCCCGTGCGCAGCGGGGCTGACTGCAAGCGCCGTGGTTCTCGGAGGGATCAGAGGGCCGCGAGGAGGAGGGAAGCTTGTGTAAAAATGGAGCTTGGAAGTCCATGCTTAGCTGGGCGCTGAGATAGCGATTGTGGTCATGCGTCCCTCCGTGATTCTGTGAGTTCCAACTCGAGGTGTTACTTCGCGAACTCGGGCTTGGTTCTGCGATCGGAGAGCTGACGTGAGCGCCGGTGGCCAACGGACGCTGCGAGGAGTCCGAGTCGACCTCGATCAGTCAACATACCAGCAAGCCCCCCATCTATCGTGCGCTGCAAATTCCCCCACTCGTCACCATGATGCCGCCGGTCAGTCGTTGCCTAGCAGCGGGCTTCAGTAGTTTCATACCATTAATGTGTTCCCGCATCGCAATCGAGCTCGGCCGCGGAGTCGAGGGGCAGACGGCACGGGCGGTCCCGGTGTTCCAACATTAGAGGGCGCTACTGGTCGGAGACGGAGAATGGAGGTCGCGGTGCTAGCAAGGACGGGTTGTGTGCTAGTCGAGGGCGATACGGCGAAAAGACGTTCCACCGTATACAGCTGGTGCGTGCTTCTCGGCCGAATTATATATACCATGAATGAATGCGAGAAGTGCATCGCCATATTGTGGCGCTGCCATGCTGGGTAATTATCTGCGAACAGTCGATGTCGATGGCCATGGCGCCCGGCACCATCACGTTCGTCATCAAACGGCCCTTGTGAATCTCGATATTGACCTCGCCATGATGGGCGCTCATAATCGGGTTAGCCGACGAGCAACGGGTCAGAGCATCATACTGTTCCGTAAAACTATTGAGTTTACGACAGCATAGCTATCAACAGTGGTAAAAACTGGATCAAAAACCAACAACGAGACCGAGTCAGGACATTGGTTGGTACTGTACTGAATAGGTGTCCGGCATTCCCAAGTGGGACTTTTACATGCAGTATGCGGTGACAACACAGAGCAGGTATACAGGCTACATTGTGTATCGTAGGTCCGATCGGATTACTTACGCAAGGGGAGATCAGCATGCCAACTCACACACCTTAGAATCCCGCGACCTCCTCTCTGATGTTCCACTCGAATTGCCTGTCATATATACACAGGTCAGAGTGATTTGTGAACTATCCGCACAGGCTGCAGAGGACTCGAACTGGAGTTTCTCGTAAAATTGTAAGAATAGATATAGTACTTGTCATCAACTAGTTGAAAACGACGCAAACGTTATTAACCGAACAGGTAAGACCAAGAGTTTTTCACCGATCAGTACGCGATGCCACCACGCCGTTCGGACCGCATTCGACTAGATGCTCCGCCATGAGCGGACGAAGCGCGCCATTCGACTCACTAGTGCACAGCTTCTCCGACGGACGCGAACTACTAGTGTGCGCCCCGTGACGACGGGAACTGTATCTGTTGCTATCGCATCTCAACCGACAATAGCGCTGTCAGCGACACGGTCGGTAGGAGCCAGGGCGACATGCGAACAACGGCCTTCGCGTGCGAGCAGACACCAGGCGGGACAACGGCCGCGGAATAAGGATACAACGATCTAATAGGCAGGTCGGGCGTGGCGCATGGAGCGAGCCTTCCATGGCGAGTCAAAACTACTGCGAGCGCAGCCGGTGGCTTTGAGTCATCCTGCCGATCGAGCACTGGGCGAGACGTATTCTCGGGCGCAGGGATGGTTCAGTCCGGAAGCAATACAAGCTGTATTATGCTCTAGTGCAAGGGTTGTTAATACAGGTGCGGCGAGTCCTCTGTATCTGCGAATGCACTGGATGTGGCTAGACGGGTGCCAGTCGTCGATGTTGTTGAGCCCTGCGCCGTAGCTGAGCAGCGCGACGAGCGGGATTCGGGCGGGACTGCCGGGGCCAAACCATATCGAGAGCCGGCACGCCGCGTAGATTGCCGATTCGCCACGCGAGGGATCCGATCGGGGACGGAGCTTGGAGAGTGCGGACTGCGGGCGTCTCGTGGAATCGAAGACAAGACGAGGAAGCGTGGTCGTATCTGCGCGTCTGATTGAGACCTGCCCAGTGGGAGTGCACGTATATAGACACCCGCCCGGTCGGGTCTCTTCCCGTGCTCTTCTGCGCGACGTTCTCCAGAGCCGCCACCTCAGTTCCTCAATTGTGCCCGAGAACGTCTTATATAGTCTCTCCCTCCCTCCCTCCCTCCCTTCCCCGCGTACCTCTCTGCTATTGCTACGCGCTACATCCCCCTCCACCACTCGAACGTGCCTTTTATGCTCCTTCCATTCCGCCCCCTTCCCTCCACACCCAGACCCAGAACGATGCAGTCCCCACCGACGACGAGCTACTCTGCGTACTCGCACTCGCACTCGTACTCGCAGGTGCCCAGGACCCGCCAAGCCGGCCAGTCCATCTTCGTGCAGACGACCAACACCGGCACCTGGCAGACACAACGCAGCTCTAGTCCCACCTCGCCCGACTCTGTACGTACCTCCTTTGCAACCGCAGCACCGTGTGCTCATTCGTTGACATCACAGCCCCTGAACTCACCCTGCTCTTCGCGCCCATCCTCGCGCCCCACAACGCCCTCCGATGTGCACAGCGCGGTCTCGCGCCTGCTGGGCCTGACCAAGCAGCTGCAGGAGGTGCTCCAGCTCTGGGGCAGCCGCCAGGCGACCGAGGAGCAATGTAGCGACGCGTTTGTCCTCGTCGTTTCCCAGTTCAACACAACCGTGAACGTCTTCTGGCGGCATGGCGTCGACATGAGGTGAGTTTCGCGTTCCTACCCTCGTTTTTTTCCTCCTTCCCTTTGCCTTCGTGCGCACGTTCTGTCTGGGAGCGCGCAATGGCCAGTGGGTTACGTCAGGACGTATTTCCGGAGGGGCAGCTGCTGCGACCTCCACGGAGGACTGGGCGCTTCTCCGCGAATGTCGGCGTCTTCGTCAGGCAGGATGCTTCTGGTCGTTCTCGGCTGCACACGCGGCAGTTTCCTCATGAGCGCGGCTTCGTGGCGAATTTGGCTTTGTCCTTTTCGGGAAAGGGACGTCGGAGAGAGGGTCGCACGCTGCCATTCATCGAACCCGCGCTATTGTAAGAGTCACGTTTCACTGGCAGCGTGCATGCGCTAGTGCGCTTCTGGTCCGCACAGAATGTAATGCTCCGTGACGTCTCTTTTCTTTATTCACTTTCTCTCTGTGAATCGGTTCAGCTCTTCGCCTCCATGGACGTGCAGCTGACTTGCGCCTCTTCTCCCTTCAGCGACCTGTTCCACGTTATCGACGACCTGCGCGAGGTGCTCGAGAACATGCTCGGCGAAGACGCGTCGCAGCAGACGCTCGTGCTCTACATGCCGCACGTGCGCCAAGTGCTCTACACCCTTCTTACCGGCCTGCGCAGCAAGCAGGGCCCGTACTGGGACGCGGTGCATGGCCTGCGCGACGCGACGCTGCGCCTCGAGCCGAACAGGAAGACATGAGCGGACTCCGCCCAGCCATGTGCTTCCACGGATTTACATACCTCTCAGCTTGGACACCTTTCCGCGCAGCCTGTGCGGCGCACGTCCTCGGGCCCTGCAGGTTGGCGGGCTTCCTTGCCAAGTCGCCATTCCGCTGCCACATCTCCCCACTCATCCGCCTACCCACCCTTGGTGCCCTTCTGGAACGCACGGGCGATAGGTCCGTGGAACGCCCCAGCGAAGGCTCTTGTGGAATTTCTGGGCGAGGGTCTGGTTCTTGATATCTGACTCCCCCACGCGCGGTGGCGTCCCCATTTGGTGCGGACGCCCGCCGGGATCTTGAACGTTTTCAACGCAAGAATAACAAGCATGTAGCAATATCGGTTTTCCTTCACCCCTCACGCGCACGATTCGCGTTGCGATTGACTCCGCGGGATACACGGATTGGATGGACACCCGACGGACGGTCTTGCTTGCTTTGCTTTTTGCTTTTGCACGTACTTTTACACGTAACTCGCTTCAGGGCTGTTTTTTTTCGTGCTCCGACGTCTGTCCCTGCATGCGCTAATACGCTAGCACGTTCGCTTGCAAGCGATACGTATTACGCACGCACTAATTGTGTACCTGCTATATCGACACTAGTTTCTCTCCCTCTGTCCGTTCTCATCTCATCTGCTCATCTACGCGTTGATTGTAGCGTACGCTCTTTATAGTCTGGAATTTCTTTTTCTCTTCCCCTTGATTACGATCATGCAATGTAGTGCCAATGTCGCGTATACTCATACTCAATGTCGATACGATTCGTTGAATTAAGCTTCTAGCCTGAGACTGAAGCTTGAGCTTGAGGTTGAACGTTGAACGTTGAACGTTGGGGGGCGAGCCCGGACTATGGGTAGCTTGGGCTCGGGTAGATCGTACGACCAGGCGAGTGAAGGTTTCATTACTATAGGAGATAAGGTGACTAGGATAACGGTCCTAGTACCCCCATTTCGTGCATATGCACCTTCTGGTGAGTCACGAGTATCTACACTTGTGAATGTCCAAGCATTGAATTTGTCGTATCTGAAGCGAGCTCCGGGAGGAGTCAGCATATTCGTGGCGATTCGAGTGATGGCCTTGGATACTACGAGCCAGTGACATTAGCCTAGGGGCAGCACTTTCTCATTATATTTCTCGAGCTGCGATGACGCTGTATGCGGAATGTATGGCTTAATATTTGTCTGGCACCGCACTATGACTTCCCGTCAAGCCGAACGGTTGCCAAGGGCCACTGTCCAGGAACCCTCAGCCACAAAGACACAGCCGTTCAGCACGTGACCAGATATTGCGGTCATCATCATAACGAGGAACCCATTACTACCATTCACGGCAGTCATTATCGCCTCCAGATATCTCAAGTGCTTTCGCTATACTACCACCTCCTGGGTGTAGTTTCAAGAAGGCGCGGTATGTCCCATTCGCCTGCGTGGGGCAATGGGTGGATTTGAATCCCAGTAAGCTTTCTGCCTGAGCCGAACTGCTGTGACCTCTGCTGCTGGCTCTCATATGTTCGTCAGATCAACGTTGCACGCCACGCGTACCGCTCGAGATTATTACAGGGCCAGTCGGGAGCTCCTCCGCTGAAGATGAGACCTCTAGGAAGATCGATCCGCCTGTTCAAGCATCGCAGGAACGCATCTCATTCTACGTACAGTTGTCCAATCGTCCGATTGCCATACGGGCTCTTCTTGGTGGTGTCCCGGATCAACGGTCTATTCGAAGACTGGCAATGGGACCGGATGACTCGGGTCTGTCGCGGAAGGCATGCTGTCGCGGTTAATGCTCCCATTCTTTGGACGAGGATGGATTGCCACATGCTGCGCCGAAGGATTTCCGGTCGACGTGGATTGCGTGGCGTCTGTCTATGTTCGCGGCTGCGAATTGAAATGCATGAAGAAGATGGAAGACCATTGGTCTCGCGTATGGAAGCTGCATGTCTCTGCATGGCCCTTTGGTATAAAGACATCGTTGTTATTGGAAAGCTTGATCCTCTAGGGCAGAAGATCTCGAGTCTCGAGTTCTAAAAATAGTCAGCTTGACGAATCCGTCATCCGGTGTCCCCTCTCGGAACTGCATTAGACCGTGGACAGCCATGGTGCTTACGAGGCTTGCAATCCTCAGGCTCTTCAACGCACGATTTGGCTCCAATCACGACAATGGCATTTATTTGGATGCTTTCGAATGGCCTTCATGCCAGCAAATCGACTACTCGTCAAATTGTCATCCAACTACTCACGGCCGTGTTGCTCGCGTGACTACCTTGCCGTCAAGCCCTACCTCGCCGTGTCCCTCCGTGACCGATCCTCCTGATGTCCATGGGCGTGCTGGACAATGTCGCTTATACGCTTGCCGACATGGACATCCCGCTCTCGTCACATGTACTCGTCGAGATGCCTTTTGACCAATTAACGGACACGCGCCTTGCCGAGTCTTTGCTCCGCATCCTCGCATGTGCTCGATCCCTGTCGTTTCTCGATGACCCGGAAGTCGGAGTCAAAATCAATGCAATTCACCTGCGGATGGATGCCCAGAGAACGGAGACACGGTCAGAACGGCCTCTAGCGGATCGTCCGTGATGAACACTCTGCATTGCGGCTTAGCTGAGCGCAATGGTCTGTCTAATCCTTCTCTCAAGCTCGCAGACGATTGCCCTGGATATAGCCTTTTTGATAGCCAGTTACGAAATACGGAATGCTCTACAGGCTGCAAGTCTGTCAGCAATTACTGCGGTTGGAGAACTGCGCATGCATGCATGCACCTTCGTCTAACGCCTTCAAAATTGTGGTGACTGGCTCAGTGTACTCTCCCGGTTCCCACATCTGGAATATCTCGAAATAAGGCATCAGGGATGCCGAATTGCTTTTCAGAAGCTCCACCATCTGCGAATGACGCCTCATCTGGTCTACACTGAAATGTCCTGTACTGGTCAAGGAGACAATACTGCTCGATGGTGGCACCAACCCATGTTGTCTTTGCAATACGTCCCGGGACGAAATTTGCAGTCACCTCCGAAAGCTCAAATGCTGTTCCTTCCATGCATTCGGGAGGAGACCTGTGGGATGTTACCTGCGCGCCAAACGTTGGCGTAGCCGCAGAGTAACGCCTGGTCATTATAGTGCTCGTCGTCTGTTAATGCCAGTAGAGTCTCTTACATATAGGGTGTCGTCCCTTGTAACACTGCGGACAAGCAGAAATGGCGGACAAACAGAAATGTAGCAGCCTTTGTCATGCGACCCGTCCTACATTTCTGTTTTTTTTTCTTATTCTGATTTTGATTTGATTGATTTGAATGAACAGCAGCTCAAATGGGCCCGAGCTCTTCCGCTCCAAGCCTGCCGGTTCTTGACTAGTTTAGAGGAATGAATGAACACATGAACCTTGGGTCGACGCAATGCACCTCTTGCGATGATGCAGGATGATGCTGATTGGCGTTCAGAGACGGCGGAAAGCCCGATTTCGACATCCGCAAAATATATTTCAATCCCCGCTGGTCTCAAAGTAATGTTTTGCCGAACGCAGCCGCTCGGCAGACTCCCGCCACACCGAGCTCAGGCTCGGTGCGCCTCCTCCTCCAAGGGCTCGCACGAGGACCCGGGCAACTCCTATATAGGAGTGTCGCAAAAATCTTCCAAAATGAGCCTGAAATATGCAAACTTTCGGGCCTCCAGTATGCAAAGTGCGACAAGACCCGTGACTATGTCACGTTTTGTAACGATACGTCACATCCATATGTCACGCTACGTCAGAGTCAAAAACATACGGATTCGTTTGCGAGATCGCCCGCTACTCTCACATAAGGATGTTGTGATAATAAAGAGGCTACATTGAGTGTGTATCAAGCTGATGTTTGTCGATGCCATCATCACAAGGGGTGACATCTTGAAGAAAAAGCCACAGATGCATTCAATGTCATCATAGAATATTCTTTGTTGTTCATTTAGGATCAGAACAAGAAGGTCTTGATGAGCAAGCTGCAGATTCTGTATCTTACAGCTTCATGAGATTCAAGTGAGACTCAGGGGAAGGAGAGCTACACAAGTC